AGCGAAACTCTATTGATTTATCGAAATATTAATTTACTACATTTTTTTTCCGAGTCGGGACCGGAATAAATTATTATTAATTTAAACGGGACTATTAATTTATCGAGGTGATACTTGACTATCCGAAATAGCCCTTCTCACCAACAGGATGAGGAAGATTCCTGGAGGATAGAATTGTGGACTTCATTATCTCAGCAGGGATCAGAAATTGCTCTCTTCATTAGTTAAGCATAGCTCTATTACCACCTTACAAGGATTTATGGGTAAGTGAAAGCTGGCCGGATAAGGCTGCTGACGAGACGAGCAGGTTTGGAAGGCGCTTCCGATAGGTCGATTCAACACCAATGTATGAAGCGAAGCGTGGTTCGATCTACGCCCAACTCCATGATTTCATGCATGACTCTTCAGGCTATAAGTCGCTATAACCCCAGCTGAGAACAACTAAGGTCCAGTGTGTTGGAAAGCCAGCTCCTGCATTGGTTCTTTCTTTAAGTATGCGGGGGATTTACCATCCATCCGCTAGTTCTGAAGATCTCAGGCTTGGACCAAGCGGTTCCACTAAGTTTCATTAAGGAAGGGATCCTTCTATAAATCCATTAAAGAGCGTTTCCACCTGGTAGAACATCCTCAGGGAATATAAGGTTTTCATGAGGCTGATCTTGAGCCGCCATCCATGCACGAATACCATCGTTTAATAGAATATTTTTGGTGTAGAAAGTCTCAAATTCCGGATCTTCCGCTGCGCGAATTTCCTGAGAAACGAAGTCATAGGCACGTAAGTTCAGGGCCAAGCCGACTACTCCAAGCGCACTCATCCATAAACCGGTTAATGGTACAAATAACATAAAGAAATGTAACCAACATTTATTGGAAAAAGCAACCCCAAAGATTTGGGACCAAAAACGGTTAGCATCGGCTTCTGTGTTGGACTTGGATACAGTTTCTTCTTTCTTGCTTTTCCAAGAGATCAATGATGAGCCAAGGAAAAACAACCACCGCTTGGTTTTGACACTCAAGCGACCCGCCCTACTAAACATCGATGGAAATGTTAGATTTGACCACCTCTATCTACCCAACTAGTCCTATTTGATCTAAAAAATCCAACCTGGATGCTGGATAAATACCTTTGGCAGCTAATCCTCTTGATAGTACGGTAGTAGCATCTAAATGTGCAAATGTCGTAGCAGGGGTAGGATCGGTCAAATCGTCTGCAGGTACATAAACTGCTTGAATAGACGTTATGGACCCCTCTTTGGTAGAGGTAATTCTTTCTTGTAAAGAGCCCATTTCGGTACTCAGGGTGGGTTGATAACCGTAAAAAAATATCTCGAGAAATCTATGAAGATAGAATTCGGTCTCAAGAAGCAAGTCGGTGTTTTACGACCAATCACAAGTTTCATGTTGGACGCAGTATGAATACTGGAAATTATGATCAAAGATTCCTCTATCCAGTGCCGGCCCTGATGGGAGGCCACACAAGCAGCTGCTTTGGGCCCCATCTCAAAGGGGCCCCCAAATTTGTGTTTTTGTGTATAATGTAGAGTAAACTGCAAAAACTACCCCTGTGTAATCTCGAAATAGCAAAAACCCCCCTGTGATAAATAAACTAGCAAAAACCTCCCCTGTGAAATTATTTAAATAACAAAAACCCCCCTATGGAACTATTTGAGGGTTGACTTGATATAAAACGACACAAATACCCCTGGAGTCTTGCAATTAATAAATTCTTATATTTTATAAATATTTTAATTATTTTATTTAAAAAATAATCAATTTAGTTGTTTACTATTTTTTCAATTTCTAAACAAATAAATTAAAAAGAATAAATATACATATAATATGTATATATATAAATGGGATAATTTGACAAACACCCCTCATTAGACTCCTCCAATTACAATAGGTCCAATTTTTTTTCTCATTTTTAAGTTAAATCTAAAACACTTTTAATTAATAAAAAATAATATAGTTTTACAATTATACCCTTCTTTCTATTTGACTTTTATTTAATATTAATTTATAATAATTGTATTATAATTCCATCTAAACTCCCAAGCCTATATTCACGATCCAAGTCATTTAATCCATCGTCTATTACTTGTTTCTTATTTCGATTTCTCCCAAACCTCTCCTTTATGACCGCCGTCGTCCCCCCTTTCTTCACCCTCCATCGCCGCCTCCTCCTCTCCTCTCTCCACCGCTCACAGCGGGATCTCGGTGGTAAAAAAATCAAGCGCCAAATATTCTTTAATTCTTCCCCTTTTCTATTCACCGCCGCCGCTCAAATATCTAAAGGGTTTTCGGTTGAACCTTGCCTTTTTCTCATCTTGCTTTTTCTGTAATGCTGCTGCCCTACTCTCAATCTTCTTCATCGCCGCCGTCGAGCTTCTCTTTTCTCCCCGCCGAAAATACACGTGTGCCCCCATTTACGGGGCAAATTTCTTCTGGCCAGACCATCGGAGGACCCGTGAGGCGGATATAACAGCAGCCTGCGGTAGCTCCATTGATGAGCCCGAACAATCGGGAGAACGAAGATTGGTTCACCGCATATTACCTAAATGTATGATTTTGTCCTCTTAATTATGATGTAAGAAATTGTTCTCATCGATGTGCCAATTTTTTACTGGCTAACTTTGTGAATCGTGCAAATCTGTAATGACATATGCAAATTAAGTTTTATTAATTATTTGGGATCGTTGAATCCAAAAAACATGATGGGGAGAAGGAATGTATGTAAATTCAAAACTAGAATTATGTAAAGCAGTTGTTTGTCTAGCTCTCGTATTCTCCAATTCAATCGTTTATTTCATCTCCTCTCTTTTTTCCTCCTTTGCATCGCCTTTGTAGAAGATGCTGGTTTAATTTTGAATTCTTTCTTTCTTTCTTTTTTTATAATTTTTTTTTGTATATTTTTATTAGCTAAAAGGAGTTTTTGTCCCTTTTTTTGTTTTCTTGCGACGTGCAATGGATAATTTCATCAATTAATTGAATGAGCGGAATTGATTTATTTTATACCGAGTGATTTTCATGTTTATATAGTTGTTTATACAGAGTGGTTTTCATGTTTATATAGAGTGGTTTTTATTTCAAATACTGGAAAGAAAAAAAAACCACTTGTTAATTGATAGGTTTTTAGTGAATTTTTGTAATGAAATTTGTTAATTACATAGTGGTTTTCACTAATTATATAGTGGTTTTCACTAATTACATAGTGGATTATGTTAATATAAACGTGGATTATGCTTATTTTATAGTAATTTTTACTTTAATTTCATAGTGGTTTTCGATAAATTTAGTGGTTTTCAATGTGTATGTGGATTTTAATTTTTTTAAATATGAACCATTTAAAAAAGTAAAAAAAAAAAAAAAAAAAACTTATGCTTTTAATTAATATAAAAAAGATATTTAAAAAAAAGACTGCATATTATACGGTTATGTTTTCTACCGTGATTTGGGGGAAGAGGGGCGAATTATATGGTAATGTGATTTGAGATTGATTTGGAATTGATTTATTTTTGGGAGGAATTTGGTATTAATTTACAGTAATATTTAATTTAATAATTATACTAATAAGTAGGGGCATATATGGGTTTTCAAGTCCAATGGATTTATATCAAATACCATTAATTAATTAAGGATTTATCAAGAATAAAAAACACAATGGAGGGTGTTTGGCATATTCCCCCTATATAAATACATTTTGAGGGACAATTTTGTCATTTCAAGTCTAAAAAATCAGCTAGGGGGGATTCTGCCTTTGACTAAATTTCACAGGGGGGTTTTTGCTAGTTTATTTATCACAGGGGGTTTTTTGCTATTTCGAGATAACACAGGGGTAGTATTTGCAGTTTACTCGTATAATGTATACATACATACATATACGTATATAATAAACAATATTAAATATATTCAAACACTCAAAGTGAGTCCACGTGTGACTTATAAAAAGTGAAAGTGAATATTGGATAAAAAATAATATAATTAAATTATACTTGAAGCACTTATTTTATTTAACTGTTGAGACAGTGATTTAACTGTTAATTGACTTTTTTATATTTAAAAAAATATTTTTAATTAATATTACTGTATTCGTTTGCTAAATTACTGTCTCCAGCAGTTATTTAACTGTCGGATACAGTAATTTAACTGTTAATTGACTTTTTTTTCATTTTTTTTCTTAAAAAAAATATTTTAATCAATAGTACTGCCTTAGATGCTAAATTACTGTCTTCAACAGTAATTTAACTGTCTTTCACAATAATATTAATAAAATTACTGTTCGGAAAAAATAATATTAATAATATTATTGTTCGGAAAAATAATATTCATAATACAACTGTTCAGAAAAATAATATTCATAATATTACTGTCCCAAACATTAGTATTACTGTCTGAGACAGTAATTTAGTAGCTAAAACAGTAATATTAATTAAAATATTTTTTTCTTCTAAGAAAAAAAAAATTCAAAAAAAAAAAAAAGTCAACGCCTGAGACCGGCGGTCTCCGGCGATCAACGCCGGAATCTGGCCAGAAAAAAAATATTTCAGAAAAAAAATTATTTTCTGATATAAAAAAGTTTTGGGGGTTAATGTGATATATTTGTTAAAATCTGGGGTCAATGTGTAATATTAAGGAAGTTAGAGCATAATGGGTAGAATTGATAAGAATTATATTATTGAGGGTATTTTAGACTAAAGACATGGGGATGGGCTTAATTGAGAGACTGTTTTTTTTGTGGACCAAAATGTATTTAAGTCCCATGTGATGGGCCTTTTTGCCATTTGCCCTAGATATTATATGTATACATATTCCGAGAACAACGAGAGAGAGAGAGAAAGAGAGAGAATTAAGAACGAGAGAGAAGAATGAGGATTGCTCCAGGTGTTGTACCGTCGGACGAAGAGCTGATTAATTGCTACCTGTTGAAAGTATCAATGGGGATTCCACTGCCATGGAGTCGGACGAAGAGCTGATTAACGGCGAAACAGCAGATCCATGGAATGGGGATTCCACTGCCATGGAATTGGATGTCGGAAAAAGAGATTTACGGCGAAACAGCAGATCCATGGGAAGTTCTTCAAGACGTTCATTGGGAAGATTTTCATTCCGAAACGAAATTCAAGCACGTCACGTACGTTCTTACCAAGTTATTACGAGTTAATGGCAAGACTCGTATCGCCAGAAGAACAAAATCGGGTACTTGGAAGGGACAAACGAGTGGCAAAGAAATTTACGATGAGTCATCGGGAAATTTAATCGGCTTGTCCAAGATGTTCACCTTTTACAAGAATAAACCTAAAGGCCGGAGCGGCGAAGAAGAAGAAGAACACGGTCACTGGATTATGCAAGAGTTTTCATTGGCCGGGGTTTGTTTGAATTTTGAGTTGAAGTTTAAAGATTACGCAATTTGTAGAATCACTAGGATGTTTCCAAAGGAAAACTAAAAGGAAAAGACAAAGAAGCTTGATATCGGATGGAGTTAGGAGAAATTAGTTCTAGTTCTTAATTTTCAATTTGTATCAATTATTCAATGCAGCTTGATATTTTTTTTCCGACCATTATTTTCGGTCTCTACTGTAAGCAATTATGTTTGAAATTAATCAAGAATTTGTTTTTTCCTTGATTGCATCTGATTTATTGTTTAATTTCTAGTTGAATATATATATATATATATATATATATATATATATATATATATATATATATATATATATATATATATATAAGATAACTTGAAACTTCCAATAATTTCTGAAAAATAAGGGAATGAATGAATGTGTAATTAGGGCAAACATATTATTTTAACTCAGAAAGGGTGAAATCACTATCATGTGCGATGTACGTGTGTGTGTGTGTGTGTGTGTGTGTGTGTGTGTGTGTGTGTGTGTGTGTGTGTGTGTGTGTGTGTGTTTCCTTGATTGCATCTGATTTATTGTTTAATTTTGAGTTGAAGTTTAAAGATTACGCAATTTGTAGAATCACTTGGATGTTTCCAAAGGAAAACTTAAAGGAAAAGACAAAGAAGCAGCCGAAGGAATCGAAGAAGATCGTGAGGAATCGAAGAAGATCGTGATGCGTTTTCCAAGATGCAGAAGATTGATTTGGATAATATAGAGTTCGATTTCGATATCGATATCGATGACATTACGTTGAAAGATTTCGGATGGAGTTGGGAGAAATTAGTTCTAGTTCTTAATTTTCGATTCGGATCAATTATTCAATGCAGCTTGATATTTTTTTTCGACCATTATTTCCGGTCTCTACTGTAAGCAATTATGTTTGAAATTAATCAAGAATTTGTTTTTTTCTTGATTGCATCTGTTTTATTGTTTAATATATATATATATATATATATATATATATATATATATATATATATATATATATATATATATATATACTTGAAACTACCAATAATTTCTGAAAAAATAAGGGAATGAATGAATGTGTAATTAGGGCAAACATATGATTTTAACTGAGGAGTGAAATCACTATCATGTGCCATGCACGTGTGTGTGTGTGTGTGTGTTTTTCCATCCAAGTTAATTAAAAAGGTTAATGGCATGACAAAATCGACAGGAAAATAGACACGTTGAGCACCAGCATTGTAACTCTAAACTACGCAGTAACAAAAATCGAATTTTTATTATTATTTTTTTTTTGAGTAACAAAAATCGAATTGATGAGTGTTTTTGTTAGGGCTTAGGCTTCGACTTTGGGGATTTGATGCCAGAGGGGAATGAGTTGAGTGGGGCCGAATGAAAGATAACTGAAATAGGAGACGGGCGGGCATTTGGTAATTTCTACAGCTTGACCAAACACTTTCAGTGTTCCGGTTGAAAGCCGTAAACTAAAGTCGGAGCCACATTTGAACAATTTTACAAATTCAAGGGTAAATCGATATGATCGAGTAGAACATGGTAAAGTGATCCCGCCCCAAAGCACAATGATGAAAATAAAATTTAAGCCCAAGCAAAAATCATGAAATAATTATATGTTCATTTCATATATAAATCTAAATATATTCATCCAACAATTCGATTACGCTAAACAAATATGTCCTGTAAACGAAGTAGAGCACATAAAAAATATAACAAATGAAATCACTTATAAACGGAGGTCAAGTCTAATATGCCGCCCCATTCAATGATTTTATTTATTTCCATGAGTTTAATTCGCAGTTCTCTTTTACTACATCAGTGCAAAAGGCAGAGGTAATAAGTGGAGGAAGAAATAAGTATGTAAAAAAACACACCTGGTGTGTGTCTTCATACGAAAGAAACGTTTCCCAGCCCTCATTTGCAGTGTAATCGCGGCGAACAAGCTGAACTTGTTCTGGCTTTATATTGTGGTGGATGTCCTGATTTTGTTAAGTAGAATATTAATTCGCTGCATATATAACCCGACCGAGCTAAAAGATCGATATAGCACGAATAATGCTCCAACTTGGGCGAAATTAGAGAATCTTTTCGATTCATTTCGTCGAAAATTTCACACCCTTTATCTAATAGCCCCGAGTGACTACACGCAGATAAGGCACCGAGGAAAGTTCTCGGCGAAAACTTCTCTCGCAGCATCCAAATTCCCGCATTTCGAGTACATATCTATCAACGCAGATGCGAGATTTACGTTGGATGATGATAGTACATGTTTTTTCCCACTTCTCGTGTCCGAACATCTCTACATATCATTACCTTCATTCATTAGCAAAAGATCACAAAACACGCAGATAAAACACTACCCATGGTATCACTTTCAGGCAGCAGATTTTTGTCGAGCATCGTCGTAAATAAATTGATGGCGTCTTCGGATGATCCGAGTTTAGCATATCCAGAAATCAAACAAGTCCAGCAAAAAACCAAATTTCTGTCAGGCATATCATCAAACACCTGGCGTGCTGACCTCAAATCCCTAACCACCTTGGCATAAACCATAAGCAAGCCATTGCAAACGAAAGAATCAGACACGAAAGCCGATTTCAGTAAACGGAAGACCCTGACGGCGAAATTCGAATGGTAGTGGCCGATGAGACGAGTGGCAATCAGATTGCTCATTGAGGTGGAAAATGCGAGCGTGGAGTTGGAGGAGGTGAGCGCGTGGGATGCGGCCCTGTAAGAGGCGGGAGAGATCGTTCGCCGGCGGCCAAGTTGAATCGACTGAGTGACTGAGTTTTGGAGGATACTGTGAAAAGAACCCAGCTTTTGCGCGCCAAGTGGAATCGGAAAGATGGTGGTGCATCAACAAAAGCTTTGCTCCTAATTTTGCCCGGACATTAGCTTAAATACTGCACAAATCGTAATTTTATTCTGTGAAACCTTTCTAATCTCACGACAAGTGGACAATTTAATTAAGGCTGCAGATATATGCAAGCCTATTTTTTTCAATGTTATCAGAATCGGACCGGTCACAAAACCGGATAGGCATTCGGGTCACGGTTGGACCGGTTCAACCGGGTTCGACCCGGGTTTTTTATTTTTTAATTATTTTATCAATTTTAATATTTTAAATATATATATTTTTTATTTTATACACTCTTTTCTATTTATTATTAACTTTTTAAATATATAAACTACTCCCTTTATTAATTCACATCCAATTTTTTATTGGGACTATTAGTGAGAACCCCCTCTAACATTATTTTAATAAGGATGGATCCAGGTCATTTTTCTTTATTAGTGAGAAACCCATTCTTTTCTTATTCTCAAATTTACCCTTCCATTATTCACTAGTTTGATGTATTTTTTTATTTTTTATATTTTAATATTAATTTTCGTTTTTTTATATTTATTTCTTTTTTAAAAAATACTATTTTTTTTTAAAAAAACTTTTTTTTTAATTTTTTTTAATTTTTTTCTGTAAATATTTCTTTTCTATATTATTTTAATTTTCAGTCAAAACAACTATATGCCAATAAAACGACTGTTATTAAAACGACTATTATTAAAACGGCTATTATTAAAACAATTAGTATTAAAACAATAATACACCAGTTTGAGAATTTATTAAATTAATTATATATATTATATTATTTCCACTGTAAGATTAACTAATTATTTAATCAAAACATCTCCAAAACAACTATTTGTTAAATCAACTATTTATTCAAACCAACTAAAAAGTAATGAAAATAATAATATTGTTATGCAAAAACAACTATATTGCTATACGAAAACAACTATATTGAATCAACTACAAATTATTGAAATCCACAGAAGCAAAAGCAAAAAAACATACCAAAATTCCAACAAAAACGACTATTATTGAAACCAACTACAACCGTAACGAAAACAACTATATCTTTTCGAGGTCAATCTATTCAATTACAACGGTGATGAAGACGGTCTTCCGACGAGGATTCCGGGAATGCTTCCAAAAATCGAAAGAACAAAAAAAAGAAAAAAATACCAGCGGATCTGCTCATCCCTCAGAAAGGAAAGGGGGAGATCGGAAGGCTGCCGTCCGTCCTAGATTCGGCGGCGTCGCCTTGTCGTTGTCGAGATCTGGAGCAGGCTTCGTCCTCTCCTTGCCCCACATCCTTCGGATTCCCAATTCGATAAAGAAGAGAAAGGGGTCTTCCTCGTCGTTGTTGAGATGTAGCGTCGCCTTCGTCACCTTCATCGCCGCCGCCATCGCAGCCAATACTACTGAGTTTTGATTCCAGAAAAGAAGAGAAGACGTGATGGGGATTGAGAACGGCGGCTTGTGAGGATTTGAGAACGGTATATTGCAGACAATATGGCTAGGGTTTGTAAATATAAGATTTGGAGAATTAAGGATAATATAGGTATACCACTATCTTTCTCTCGTGTGAGAGGTCTTTCTTCTCTCTCGAATGAGAGGCGGTTGTTTCTTCTTCTTTCTCCCTAATTATTTGTCTTCTCAATTCTCCTAAGTTGTGTTATTATTTCTCTCACCTTCTCCTGCAGATTTTATCGTTTCTTTACTTTATTCGTTTAATCGCTGTTTTTTATAAGTTTGTGCTAGGGTTAGCCGTTTTAGGGTTTCCTCTAAAGCGACTAGAACTTATCTTCTGTTACTTCTTCACGTTTGTGTCTATCCCAGATCTACTCGTTCGGCTTCACTCTCTCACTCTCGAGTCAGCATCTACCCATCTATCTCACTCGCCAATGGAAGAAATCGAGGAAATTATGGCAAAAAGTCTCCATCTGACATCGGAGGAAGAGGAATGTGTTGTTTTAGGTCCATCTCCTACTGACCACGAGATCGCTACAAAATTTGCTATGGTAGGGCGCGTGGTCTCACAGAGAGAGATATCGGGTCATACTATTAAACTCAATCTCTCTCGTTTAATCCAACCAGTGAAGAGCTTCACGTTTTCCTCGGTCGGCGGCAATCGCTTCGTCATGGAATTTTCTCATCGCCTTGATTATCAGCACGCCCTCAATGGCTGCCCTTGGGTTATGGATAAACAAGCAGTAATTCTCAAAGAGCTGATCAGCGGGGAAGACCCTAGAGAGGTTTCCCTGCAAGAAATGAAGATTGTTGTGCGTTTCCACAATGTGCCGCTGAGACAACGACATCAAGAAACGGCGGCGCTAATTGGCTCGAAAGTAGGTTCAACACTGGAGGTGTTGACTCCTAAAGTTGGGTCTTTCCATGACTTCATGAGGGTTAAGCTGCAACTCGACATTACGAAAAGCCTGCTGAGGGGGATGTTTCTTCGCCTTCCCGATGGATCAAAAGTGTGGGTGTCGTTCACTTATGAACGGCTACCAAATTTCTGTTTTTTATGTGGAGTTATAGGACATGGGGAAGCTAGGTATGAGAAGAGGTACGAAGAAGGTTTTGTTGACCCCGGTGACAAGTTTCCATATGGAAATTGGCTCAAGGCAGCGGCGAATAGGGACGAGATAAAGTCGGGACTCCCTCTCCAAGCAATTAGAACGGGAGGGTTGTGGCGTCAGCAACGCAACATGGAGAGTCAAGCCACGGATTCTGATATTATTGCATGTACTCCTCTAATTCGAAACAACTCTACTGTGGGAAGTGCAGCTGGGAAGGAAAACGAAGTGCCGAGTTTCCTAGACGAAGCTAATTTGATCACCAATTCAATACTGATGCAGACAAGCACCAAGAAGGCGTCTGTGGAAAGG